CCCGGCAGTTATCATTTGACAATCACTGATTGAAGCTAAGTGTTAAGGGAAGATTTATGCAGATCGTTATCCATCGAGGCTTTTTAAGAAAGAGAACTAAAATAAAATAAAGAGAGTTATAAAAGTTAGTATTTCTAGCGTATAGAGAGTAGTAGCGGAGAGAAAACGCCAAGGGCTCACCACAGCGAAAGTTACATACAGGACTATGTGGCAATTTTAATTAGAGTGAAACCTTTCGACGGTTTGTTTCAAGTTTTGATTAAGACCATTAAAGAAATGATAGGCATTGACACCTGAAAATAGCGCCTTAAAATAAGGAAACTTACCTAGTTTAAGGGTGATACGTGAATAAAAGCTGGCGAAGATATTGCACTGATTTTAAGGCGTTTTGTCCAAGTCAAATGTTGAAAAAACGTGGAAGGGTTTTATCACACCACTCTTTATATAGGATATTATAGTATTGTATTCACCTTAACATTACCTTGTATTAAAAACTTACCTTCGTTTAACGCAGCCATCGCTTCCAATTGCACTTTCCAATGCTCGTGGTATATAAGCATGGCCAGTGTGAACAGAAAAAGCAAACATAAAATCAAGTGTTTCCCCATAAAATCGGATCGCAACGGCATTTCGTTTCAGCGTCCTACACTGTTTTCTTATGATTATGTAGTTTTATGAGGGCTAGCGGAGTTTTGTTATTAATGATCTGTAATTAGTTTTAAGGCATTAAGGCATATAACTCAGGCGGGAAAAATTTATTTATTTTTCAGCTTTCTTTCACTTTATACACAAAATCATACTTCATGGCAAAGTGGTCGTTGCTATAGCAAGGTGCTAAGAGAAAAAAGCCAATTAAGTGATCAGACAGAATGGCTATGAACAAATTATTTTAATCAGAAAGACTTGTAAATTGCTTACTTGAATGGCTTTTCCTACTTATAATTGTCAAAAACTTAAGTTAAATTGTTTGTCTTGAAACTGTTAATTTATTACTTTCTCGGAGGCCTTATTAAAAGTTCTTGAGTAAAAGAACTGAAAAAGACCACAAAGATCTTTGATTCGCATAATGAGATCCATAGCCTGCGATCAAGCTCAATTGTGCGAATTCGGGGAAAGACTATTAGATCCAGGAAGGTGCGATTTTATGTCTTCATGAAAATATTTTCATTTTTCCCCGATTCTTCAGCAAGGAATTTAAAAGCCACTCCGATTACTCCGGTAGAGTCTGGGGCGAGCCTCCTTTGGACATAATCCCGAGTTGGCGCGAAAATATCAAAACAAAGATGGCGACGGTAGCGGCAACATCGAAAGTGGACTGCGCTCAAGGAAAAAACGGGAAAAACAATCCTTCATCCACCGCACAAGGTGTAGGCACAGGATCGGCAGAAATGATAGACGCTGAGATGCGAAGAAGACAGATGAAATTAAATCGGAGGGCACAAAGGAAACGGCGTAAGGCCAGAATGAAAGCAAAACGAAAGGAGGAGGAAATGGCCAAAAAACGCGCGGAGGTCGAAAACCAAGTCTGTGTTATGCTTGCATCTGTACAGTCCGACTTAAACAGCCTTGTTGAAGCCGAGAAACGAAAATCAGAGCAGTATCTGTCTCTTGCGAGGAAGTATTACACGATGTGGAAGACACTGAATGATGAAAGAGCTTGCCGACAGCGCGAAGCGAAGGCATGGAGTCCAGAGGAAAGGGATAAGCTTAATTGCGTAAGTTTCTTCAGCGTTCTCCATTTATACTACTTGATAGTCTTGTTCTTCCCTAAAACAGGGTTGGTTAACAGGTTTTCACCACTGTAGGGAGCTCAATTTTGTAAAACATAGTTCGTCAAATTATTAATGTGCCCTTAAACAAAGGAGCCTTTTGTTTTCCGAGGCGCTGCGTCTCGGATTGACATATTGGAATAGGGGGGAAATAACACGAACTATAGTTATGGGCTTTTTGTGTGTATGGCCCTCTCTGGCTGGTAATTCCTCTGGCTAATAAAGTCATTTGACCTCAAATCTGTCCGAAGTAACATCTCAAACCAAATCGAACTAATTCGAACACATTCGAGCCCTCACCAAAAAAAAAAAACGTTTGAGCAATAACTTTTGATTGTGTTCATTTGCGCTTGGTTGAGTATGGTTAGTTAGATTGCACTCGATTAGGTTTGATGGCTTACACTTTGAGGTTGGATGATGACTGAAAAATAGTGGTCAACTTTGGATCGATGGATGGATTGTACAATGTATTGGAAACAGGATTATGCACATAGTAACACAGGCATGCCTGGTTTCCATATGATCGTCCTGTTTGTTCCAGCAAATGACCCGGACGACTGAGACAACCTCGATCGGTTGGATAGAGTTGANACGAACTATAGTTATGGGCTTTTTGTGTGTATGGCCCTCTCTGGCTGGTAATTCCTCTGGCTAATAAAGTCATTTGACCTCAAATCTGTCCGAAGTAACATCTCAAACCAAATCGAACTAATTCGAACACATTCGAGCCCTCACCAAAAAAAAAAAACGTTTGAGCAATAACTTTTGATTGTGTTCATTTGCGCTTGGTTGAGTATGGTTAGTTAGATTGCACTCGATTAGGTTTGATGGCTTACACTTTGAGGTTGGATGATGACTGAAAAATAGTGGTCAACTTTGGATCGATGGATGGATTGTACAATGTATTGGAAACAGGATTATGCACATAGTAACACAGGCATGCCTGGTTTCCATATGATCGTCCTGTTTGTTCCAGCAAATGACCCGGACGACTGAGACAACCTCGATCGGTTGGATAGAGTTGAGTTCTATCTGGATGATTGTGTTAATTTTGAAGCGATCATATGGAAATGCTCTCAGACAAATGAGACAATTAGGATGATAGAAGGCCATCCCACAAATAATCACTCTTATTCCAGTAATCAGGAATAAATTGGGCCTGACGCCGCTGAAGTCGAAAAAAAAATAGTACAAAAATGTTTGCGCCGCATATGGGCGCTATTTGAAACTAGAGAAAGTCCATCAGATCAAGTTCTTGATGTGCTACTATGGGTGCTTACCATTTGACAGAAAAATCCAGTTGGGGTGTCAAAAGCATAATGGTAAGCGATTTACCAGTTTACCACAGAATTGCCACATCCGTAATAGTTTGAAATATCCAAAAAAGGGGCGAATTTGTGAAGTGTGAGTCTGGAACCGAGAAGGAACCAAGAAGTTGGTAAATGGTCAGCAACATTTCCATTTGGTTTGTACCAACCGGAATGAACAGACTTCCTCAAAACGTACTCCTCAATTTTTGGTTGGAATTTCCGAAAAGTGACCTTACCATTTATTACCTTCCATCCGGAATTTCGGAAATTTTCTGTCAAATGGTAAGCACCCTGTGTCTTTGTGGAACTTTTCTAGCTTGTCAACGCTGCAAATTAAAAGTAAAAGTAGATAGCAAGGTACAAGGTTTGCTCTTTGATTAAAATCCATCATTATGTTTGGCTTGTTTGCAAAACATGTACAAAAATTCCACTGCCTGACCCAGACACATCTCTGACCACATCACGTTTCTTGTCTTTGAGACGATAATAAACAATTATTGGATGAGGTTTTTGTGATATCCGGAATAATCAAGGTCGAGGTTCGGCTTCGGCTGATAACACTAACCGAGACCTTGATGATTCCAGATATCACAAAAACCGAATCTAATAATTGTTTTATTATACTTTATCTTCAAGTAATTACTCAATTTCTTGCTGGGTCGATGAGCGAATCGAGAAGCCATTCTTACTTTGCTGTCCGCGAACTTGACATTGCTGTCCGTGCACTTGACATTGCTCTTGGAAATCATGCATTGCGCGCGCAACACTTTTAGCCTCAAAGTGTGAATAATCTGTAGGTTGCGCTGTTTCCCAGAATTAACTGTAGGATTTTTAGCCAATGAGAAGACAAATGGTGACTACAATGTATAATAAAGATGATTATCAGTTGTCGGGATCATCTCAAAATATTTTCAAACGACTGGGGTGATTGTGTCAATCCTCAGGATCATGGAAACCAGGCTTAACAAGATTGCCAGCTAATGCAGGCTACATGTGTCTGCAGACTGACAAAAACAAATCTTAACCTGCAATGGAACTACAGTGAAGTAAGATTAATTTTCTTTTGCCTGTCAAAGTTTATTTTCCAGGATTTTTTTCTATTTCACCCTCCTGTTTATTCTCTCATTTGTAAAATCATAGTATCATAGGGCCTGTTTTAATGTGGTGAGCCAGCCTAGTTTGCCGAGCTAGCCCATTTTACAAGGCTCGCTGGGTAAAATTGTCATTGTGTTTATATAAGAAGGCAAATGGCCCGCTAGTTGAGGTTTCACCTTGAGCAAATAGGATCTTAGCAAGATAAACATAACAACAATTTTATATGGAAACAAGGCATGAGCCAAGCCTGCTCAGTAAAACGGACCAGCCCATGCTCATCTTATTTAAACAGGCCCATCGTAAGTGATTGTACCAAACTCCTTTTTGAATGACAAAATGATATAAAGTGTGTGGATCAAATTCTAAAATGTTGTACTAAGTTTGTTTGTTTTTTTTTCAGCTTTCATTATTGAAGGAGCAGAACCCTGTGTGTCCTTTAGAAATGGTAAGTAGTAAATTTAAAGACCTCCAAAGACAAGACTAAAATAATTTATTTATGTATTTATGTAGTTGTCAACAATCATGAATATACAGTCTACTCCTGATAACTTGAACCTTCTAGGGGAATTGATTAAAGTTTGAGTTATCGGGAGCTTGAAGGAAATAACCGGATGTAAGGAAATAAGGCTGGAAAAGGAATGCAAGTATCATGCATACTTCACTTCAAGGGCAGCGAGAGATAGAGATGTGTTGATCTTTATTTTGAAGAAGGAATTAAGCAACAAAGTAGAAATAAATAAATAAATTCAATGTTTTGGACTGCAATAAACTGATTTTTTTTCTTTTTTGACGTGCCACATGCTTAGAACATGGTTCAAGTCATCGAGGGTAAAATAATTGAAATTATATGAAGGGAAACAAAAATTACTTTGAGTAAGCGGGAGGCTCGAGTTATCAAGGGTTCGAGTTTACTGAGGGAAAAATTGACAGGTCCTTAAAAGGGACAATATGTACCCATACGTTGTCTCTGTGTTATCAAACATGTCTCTCTTCCTTGAAAATCACACACGAAGTCATTGCAATATTAAATATAGTACTAAATTTGTTTCAAAGTTCTTGATTTGTTTATATTTCAGACCTCAGTAACGCTGAACAAGAGGTTTTCTGACTACCTGAGTTCATCAGAGGGCCCTTTCAAAGTCCTTGGAGAAACCCTTAACGTCACTAGTGCCATTTGAACAAAGTAATGCCCAGTTTATTTTGTTATTATTTTTTGGGGAGGAGGGTGGGGGGGTAGGATTAAAAAGAAATGCATTTGAAGTTAGAAGTAAAATATGTGGATTAGCAAAATGAACCTTACGCGTCTGTAGCTCTCATTTGTTTTGTTGACAAAGCATATAGATCTTCTTAGATCCATCAAACAATATCTTCCTCTAAACGAATGCATCAAAATCAACATCAAAATGTTATATTATTAATATTTATCCGTTTTTACCTTTTTTTTACTGCTTTTACACTTTTTAATAGCTGTAAGTTAGTTATATATATTTCAGGGAAGGGCCACAAGTGGTGGCCAGAATGGTGACTTGACCAGCAAAAAACTTCACTCACTGGTCACGCAAACTCTCACTCTTCAACAAACAGCCAAATCCTCACCTGTACATCTCAGAATACTCTCTTTGTAAAAATAAAATCACATTTGTTAATAGAAAATTACACAAGGATTAGTTAACTTCTTTTTCCAAATACATGTATTTCGGCTGGTCAGAATGAGACTTGACCAAGCAATATTTTCTTTGGCTGGTCATCATGTCTGGCTTTAGTGCACCAATGATATTTTGGATTCTAGGATTAACATTCACTTTTATTTCTTGAGACAACAGGAGTGTACAATAGCTGTTTCTAAAATGACAAAATTGTCTTCATTCTATTTTCTAGCATCAAAGTAAAATTTTCAGTGGTGCTTCAGTCTTCAATGCTCCTGTACAAGAAGTCCTTCATTAAAGTTAGAGATACAGTCAAGAAAAGCACTTTTATGTCATGATGATGATGATGATGATGATGATGATGGTGGTGGTGTTGATGGTGCCATGGTGATCTGGTAACTGATATGCTCCTATTTTACTTCAACGTGTTACATGTACATTGGTACTTCAGGGTTGGATCTAGAAACTTCAGAAAGGGGTGGCCAGGACACTTGCCCACTTGCCAGCTATATAGATACATGTACTTTTTATTTTCTAAGAATTCTTTAAAAATAATGCAAAATTTCAAAGAAAAAGGGGTTGCTGCAGCCCCCTCGGCCCACTCCTTTATCTGCCCTTGTACTCTAATTACCCGTCAATAAGCCAGAACCTAAAGTTTAGGTAAGAATTTTCTATACTCTTACAACAGTAACTGATTCCATGATATTATAAACACCGATGAAAATACCAGGTGATCTTTGGTGTGAAAACATCACATCAAAATACCTCTTAACTTCACAGGTGAAAAATTCACCATTGCAGTGGCTATAAAAACACCTTCCACAGCAAAAGAAAAAAAATTAAAGCGATTATGGTTTAGTATTTCAGTGGTTTTTATAGAATAAATAAGAACATTACATGGCGAAAATTACATGTGTACTCTTCTTACATGTACATATGTATGCTGAAAGACATTTAACTTGTTTGGCACCCTCACTGGTGAAATTCTTTCAACACTTGAGGTGAGGTGAAATCTTGTGTGAAATTTTGTACCTCTACATGGCCAAGTATTGTTCTGTATGTAACTAATACAGTAGCCTACCATTTCACCTCTTGTCATGTGGGGAAACTCTTTGGAATGGGAATTCCCCCACATAGAAACAATAATATTCTTACTCAAACACATATAAGAAAGTCTTAAACCTTTTTTAGTTTTAGGAAACACTACATTAAGTTTTTAAATCTTGTATTTTAGACCAGAATAATTGAATTTTATTGTAAATATCCTAAAGGGGAAAATCACTTGGCAACTCAGGGTGAATCTCCAACCTGACATTTTGAACAAATAACTAAGAAATGTTTGTTACCTCATACTGTATTGGCTAATATTGGGCAACTTAAGACCAAATTGAAAGAACAGGAGAGAACACATTTTCAGCACTGTGATTCTTGCCCCCTGTTTTGAGAAAACATCTTGCGGCAAATTTTCCCACCCAATTTTAAATATTGTACCTGAAGGAACATATTTTTAGCCTGCTGAGTGGGCAAAAAATTTCCTCAAGCTGAGGCTCGTTAGGTAATTTCACCCTAAGTGGCACTCTGATGTTCCCAAAATTAATGGGAAATACCCACTTTTGTTGGAATCAAGTTAATAAATGATTTTGCTTTCACATAGCTATATAATAAGAAAGAAAGTTTATCTAGAAAATGATTTTCAAATCAGGCTTTAAAATTTTATTTGTAACTTATTTTTCATACTATTTGACAGGCTATTCAGTGATCATTATACGTTTCTGGGAAACTGACCACCTACCCCTCCCCTAAGCCAACATTTTGCCTTACGTGAGAACTAAGTATTAATGTTGGCTTGAGGAAGGGGTAGGTGGGCAGTTTCCCAGAATGTTTTTTGGTGTTGCTGATGGGTGCAATCACCAAATGAAATAATGCAAAAACATTGAAAAGACTTGGAACAATACCCAAAAACAAAAGCCAACTGAAAATAGTTTCCACAACACCAAGAAACACCTGGTTGTTCTTGTTATTAAGCATGTCATGCTTGAAAAGGCAGATTTCAATAGTTTTAAAGTGTGCTATAATGGTAGACTAATATGCTAGTAGTTTTTAGTCAACTACAAAGGAAAAATTAAAGGGGAAATTGAGAAGATTTGAGACAAGGTGTACATTGGTTCTTTTTTCGTAAAAGGGTAAGTCTGGATTCGCGCTAATTTTTTTCATTAGGCCAAACATTGACCCTCTTCCTATAGCTTGAAGTGACTGGGAATATTTTAATTCCCCCTGGATGGGAAGCTAGTCCATCATAGCCTGTTCTAGGCTCCAAGATAATAGGGCCATTTATACGAGGAAAAATAAGACGCGTCTTACATAAGACGCGTCTTAAATAAGACTCGAACTTTCCGTATAAACGGCACATTTCGTCTAAAATAAGACGCGGCTTAGCTAAGACGCGTCTTATTATATAAGACATGCTCGTACAAATGGTACAGCTCGCGTCTTATGTAAGACGCGTCTTATTTTTTCTCGTATAAATGGCCCTAATGAGGAAAAGCGGGTGAAGAAAAGTTGCGTGAAAACCATACATCATCTTTAGATGTATTTTAAATTTCAATTGCTCCTAGGATCTACAGCTCCATGCAAAGCTCCATGCACGAATGATTGCTAATTTTTTGAATAAGTCACTATCCGATGAATTCATCAATCGTATTGCAGAGCAATGCACATTCAAGAACATGAAGAAAAATGATATCAGTTTTTAAGATTCGGAACGAAGAGAGTTCCTTGCTTCTCCGGAAAGGAGTGATCGGTGGATGGAAGAATTACTTCACTCCAGAACTGAATGAGAGATTTGAAAAGGAAGTGTTGGAAAAACCGAAAGGAACTGGATTAGAGTTTGATTTTGAGATATAAAAGACAGCGTTTGAGTAGTGGATCGATAAATTCCTAGCTTGTCCATCCAAGTAATAAAATTCACTAGTGTCTAAAATGCGTTCATACAGAGGAAACTTTTTAACGTTTCTGTGGACAGATAACGTGACACATCGCATACTACCCACATTTTCAGTGACAAAGAGAGATAATTTAGGCCAGTAAACAGATGTGAAGGACGCTCTGTGTGTGTCACTTCGTACCTCAGATTAGTTTATAGTACAAGTCTCAACTTAACACTCCCAAAATACGGTATTGTATCCGCAAAATGTAATTATTGCCCTTTTTGCTTTATAAAATGTCAGGATATTTGGTCTTGAAGTTATTATGATCTTTGCTCATCTTTCCTCCTAAAAACCGGCATGGCATGTCACGTAAGGTTCAGTTTGCCATTTCATATTTTTCTACAAGTTTAATTGTACTCAGATCCAGGTCCATAACTGGGCCTACAACTGGGAGATCCGGCACCACTCATTGGTTTGATGCTGTGGACTTGTTGATACTTTTATATTTAACAACAATAACCCGGCAACTTGAAATCTTAGAAAAATCTCTTTTCTGTTTCCTTTTTATTCTATTTCAGTTAAAATAAGACCAGAAATAATGTTTAATGATGTGTTGAATACAAAAGAAGCCTTTCTAGAGTATAAAGATGTCAGTTTTTCAAAGTCCAAAAAGTCGAATTTTATTAAAGAGGTAAATCGATGATTTTGGTAAAAAATTTGTTTCTGGTGAAAGCAATCATCGGCTTTTCATACCTATCAAAAACCCCGGAACCACCGGAACAAACATCACCGGTTGGTTAGCAGGGGCGGATCCAGGATTTTTTTTAGGAGTGAGTGCACTCGTCTATTGCTCTTCTTCAGCACCAATAAACCACATAGTTTTTTTTTTTTTGCAGAATACCAGTTGTATTAGAAAACCGCAGGTCATCTCGGGGGGGGGGGGTGCACCCCCTGCACCCTCCCCCTAGATCCGCCCCTGGTTAGGGTCTCTTGCGGTTCAAGAAGTCGATTATAAATCGAAAGTTGTACATCGTCTTTCACGAGCCGGTTACTATCAAGTCCTTTGAAGCTATGCGAGCCTGCGTGCTTTTCAAACGTTTCTATTACCTGCCCTAAAATATGCTGTGATGTTGGGAGAAAAAAGATGTTTGTATAATTATAAGTGCAAGAAAAAAAGCACAAATAACCAAACCGCAGAATACAACGAAAACACGACCGTAAAAGATCTTCAACGAAGGGCTAAAACTGGGCGACATAAAAGAAACGCAAACGGTTGCTCAAGAAAAGAATGTGTTACTAAAAGACTGGTTCATTTTACAGGTATTCTGTCGAATCGACAAAAAAAAGGAACAACGGGAAAAGATCTGCAACGAATGGCTTTTTCTGAACTTAAAAACGGTTGCTCCATAAAAGAATGCGCAACTCAGCATTTGTGGCAAATTTTACCGGTATGTTATTCTGTCTTATGGAAAAGGAACGAAAAATATGTGTAAACGTGATGCAACTCAGAACTTCTTTTCAACAGTTGCAGGCAATATTACTGTAAAAGCAAAACGTAAGTCAAATTTCGAAAATTATAACTTAATCTTGTATTTTGCAATCAGCGCGTTCTCATTGACTTGGAGATTCAAGGACGCGACGGCAGCGAGAATGTCTAAAAAACAATAGGTTTTATTAAGCAAAATAACAACTTTGCACGTGCCTCGCACTTTTTTTGTACCTTTCTTTCCGTTTTTGCACGACCACGACGTGAAAATGCCTTTTCTCGTTTTATGGAAGACGTAAACAGGCAACGACGAAATTTTATTTCTCTTTCTGAGCTTGGATATGGTCCCTTGAAATTCAGCTTCGGGATGGTTCGCCTACATTTGACAAGTAAGTGGGTAGGAATAATCACTATAAAGACTGAAAGAACGCAAATTCACTTTTAAGCGACGTTTACGTTGCTGTCGCGTAGTTGGATCTTAAACTCCCTTATCTTGTCCTCTTCATCAAAAATAATTTAAACTGAAATACAATGGCTTTCCTTTCCATCTTGACTGAACATATGCTGGGAATAAATCACTAATAATTGTTTTCCGCCTCTTTGTTATGCTATTGAACAATAGCTAGTGAGGGAATCTAACTAAGAACAAATAATTATTAAACTCTAATCAAACTTCGCAACAACATGGTCTGACTAGACGGGTTTACACAACTCCATTTATTTCATGGTCTTCTCGATAGCGAAATTTTACAAGGTATACTTTTACAACAAGAAATATTTGACTTTTTACGTTTTTCCTTTACGAATACAAATGATTCTTAGGACCCAGTTCAAAGGCATCGGAGCCTTTTGTAAACGTAAGGGGCCGGCGGCTCATCGTACACCAAACCAAGCGTATACCTCTACTCAAATTTCCCAGAATGTCTTTTGCATAATTGTGTGGAAGAAAAAACTGTTTGCTTGCTTTTAACCTTAACAGTGTCCGGATCGTTCATTATCAAATTTTTGACTTGCATAAGTAGGCCGTTGTTCAGACGTCGATCTTGCTTCATGTTCGTGGTTTGTTCTAGGTATTTCTTGAGTCGTTGAAGGGCGGAAAATGTATGCTACGAAGCCTCCAATGGCATGTACAATTTAATCACAAATTTAGTCTTATAAAATTCTGAGCACCTCTCTAAGGCGCGTTTTTGTTACAAGCGTTTGTGGAAAGCTGGGCTACCGGTGATTTTGAGG